TATATAACAGTGTACCACATGGTGGTGGGGGTGTGAGTGTCAATAGACATTTGTTATTCGCAGGTTGCAGGCACAGCCTTGCCAACCTAGAACACCTCCCCCTCCAGTCCTCAATTTCATTGAGTGTTGTTTGTTTGGGTTTGCTGTTGGAGCGTACAAGACACAAGAGTTGTACACAAGCTCACAAGCATTTAAGGTATTGCTTCACAATACTTCATTTAGTATGTACTCACGGTACTTTACTATTTTCATCAGACTAATACTCATGACAGAGTATATTACTGTAAATATCAAAGAAGCGTACAGTACCACTGTACGTAGTAGCCGGTATCACCGGAGTGTGACTTTAAAGTGAAGTGAAATAAGACATTACTTAAGGGAACGAGCAGGTAGCCGCACAGCGTACAGGCTTCCCCGCCTCGTGAAACATAATAGGTGCTGGAGCCCAGGTTGGCGGGCGTCTCCACAGCTGACGCTGAGGGCCTAACCTAAGTTGCTAGGCTCCCTCCCACGACGACTTGGCCTCGCTGGCGACAGGTTCTGAGCCCTCGCCTCCAGTGGCTGAGCTGAGGTTCTACTCGCACTCGGCCCTCCGCTGGTAGCGGCAGCTGCAACACAGAGCGAGGAACATTAATACAAGATTAACACAATATCACAGGGTTCAACAGGGGGGTCATCTAAACAAACAGGTCTAGTTATGGACTTATGCCGGCCGGTGCCATATTTTCCCCCTTTAAGTACGCGCACTTGGTTGCTGTATGAGTTAGGACCTTGGAGCTTCGAGCTTTTCCACAACTGTCCCCTTGTACCATTTTCGGTTTCTCCAATGCACTATGGGCTGTCCGACAGCTCTCCCTGGCGTTCTTGCCTGGGCTATCGCCTATCGTACTAATACTTTGGTTTGGTTTGCAGAGCCGTCGGAGTATTTCCGAGATGCACAACCTTTGGTTCCAGGGTCTGAGACCCGGTGGGCACATTAGTGCTCCATGCATGTATTCCAATGGATTAGTCTATCAAGAGTATTTACTCAAACGTTGGAAGTGTATGTTCAAAGCCCCACACACTAGGTGATCAGTCTAGTTGTGCTGCTTGTCACATTCCTCAACGTCTCCAGGTAAGGAGCATTAGCATCCTGACATTTCGGTAGCCATTGTTTGGCTACTTCTACCCCCCCTCTCGGTTAACCTTTTACCCCGAGGAATTTCATTAGAAATAGGTAGAATAATCCTGTCTATGCCACAGGTAGACTGTCAGCATTCAAGGAGTCATATGGAGTGTTACTTCCATAGATAATGTCAGGGATATCAGGAGTGATGTAGACTTCAACACTACAGGTACCGAGCTTGCTGCTCCAGGCTACAGTCTGTATCTTAAAAGATAAATTCAGGGTCCCAATAGTGGAGAAGACTTCTCTACACTGTAATTACCAAACTTGTTGTTTCAGGTAACATTCTGTATCGTGAAAGATATCTGTGATTCCCATGAGTGGAGAAACGTCTCAACACTGCAAGTACCGAACTGCTTGGCATTCCAGGTAACTGATTTATCTCCAGCCATTTTAGACTATTGTCAACCCCTACTAAGTATGGTTGAGCACTGAGTTCCAAGATGTTTGCACAAACATTCTGTAAGCACAACACTGGAATCTTGTGTGGGAGTAGTGGCTTTTTATAATTAGCCGCACTATGCTCCACACACACACTACAGCTCACAACAAGAGTTTGAATAGCACTTGTGACTCCAGGTCAGTAGACTACCTGACTGGCTCAAGCCTCTGTTTTCTAAACACCTTGATGTGCAGCATGTTAAGCTTTCAGAACCTTGGGTCTGAGCGACGGGGGAACTATTACCCTGTCCTCAATGATGACCAGACCATCTTCCACAAAGATGTCATTTTTTTATTTCCAATTTGGCATTGTTTATGGCGATACTTTAGCATTTGAGTTGGGCCACTCACTTTAATATTTATCCTGAACTGATTTTAATCCTACATTTATTTCTGGCTCTGGTTTCAGCCCATCCAACATCCCTGTGGATATGGAGAGAGTGGCTGTCACATCGTGCCCAACTTTAACCATTTCGTGACCATCATGATGATGTAATCATGAGACAAGAACATATGTTTCCCTGGTTTAGAGTTTACCTCAGGGTGTAACAACATGATTTTCAATTGCATTGTCTTTAGTCTTTTATTTGTTAGCTTATCAGCTGGTTTCTTAAATATAGACGTTAGGGGCTGATGATCAGTTTGAAACTGCATATCAGGCATCCCATAATTAATAGATTTCATCTTTTTGTCTGCATTAATCAGTGTTAGCATCTCCTTCTCGATTTGAGCATAGTTGGACTAACATGCTGTGAGTTTTCGAGAGGCACTACACACCTGATTGGTGTCCTGGGGCCAAGCTGCTCCCAGACCAAACTGACTGGCTTTTGCCTGAAACACTAGTGGTTCTGCGTGGTCACAAGGCACCAACACAGGGGCATTGGCATTGCCTACATTTATTTCTGAGTTTTGGAATACTTCATGTTCCAGTGCGTCGGTGCTGGCGACTAGGACGTCATCAAATATAAGATGACTCCTGTCTCTCCAAATACTGGATCAGTCAGATATTGGAAAATCTCCAGTTTACTGAGAAAACCAAGATGGCTTTCTTTGAATTCATAGATACCAATCGGTGTCGTTAAACTGTACAAGACTGGATTCCTCATCCATGTTGGCATGACAGAATCCTTCTTTACAAATTCCAATCAGTAAATACCATTTTGTCCCAGCCTTTACACAAGAGATCCTCCGGTGTAGGACTTTGGGATTTATGTGATAATTGCCTTACTTAGCATTTGTGGATCCTGCATAACCTCAGGTCTCCTGATGGCTTTTCTCTAACGACTAGATTATTAATGAACTTTGGCAAAGTCTCTTTTACTGTATCAATGATTTCTTGACCCACGAGGGCGTCAAGTTTAGCCATTTGTCTTACTCCAATTGCTGCTCTGTACTGGCAAGGCCGACACAGGCCAACTGGAGTATCACTGTCGACTTTGTGATGTATAGTTTGCTGGAACTGTCCTAGCCCATCAAACACATCACAATGTTTAGTGACAAACTCATCCTTAGATTCTCTTATAACTTTGTGATAGTTATCAGGGAGACATCTACAGGATGCTATACTTGTTTTACTGAGTTTAAGTTAAAATAAGTCTCTAATCCCAGAAGGGGTCTGTTTGCTAACTTTGATTCTTCGAATTTCAGGTTAATGGATACACCATGTGGGGTCTCAGCCAGGGCTGTGAGATAGCCCTCTACTGGAGCCATAGTTCGACTACATGCCTCCACTTCGAGACTGCTAGAATGCAAGGTATATATTCCTTCAGCATTCAGAAGACAGAAAACATTGAATTGTAGTAGAATGACTTCTGACTCACAATTCAGTTTGAATTTAAATAATGTGTTTACCTTTCAATGTGTTAACTCAAGTCTGTTCCCATAGCCTGCACATTTGGGTGTCATCAGACAACTGTACCACTACTGAGACTTCCATAGAGTCCATCAGCAGCTGTGTCTCCTTCTCCTCCTCCCCTCAGAGGTGGAGAATGTGTTGAGCAAGTATTGCAACATGTCTACCTCCAATAATCAAGGTAATGGTCTTTACCTTGGAATTATTACTTTACTGTGCCCTCGGTCACACACTTGTTATTCTTGGCCATGTGCAGGATGTCTCCTGGCCCCATGACTAGTGATGCATTGTTTACAATTAGAAGGTGCTGATGGATAATCCATCCAGTCACCCTGGTTGCCACTTCTGTGGAAGTGTCCCCGACCACGCGGGTGCACTTAGCGATCCCTTATAGGGAATTCTCTACAGTGACTACTGAGGTAAATAATGTGAGAAGTGATGGGTCCGCTGTGACCACCCTCACTGGACATGTGATGGTGTCCGTTTAACAGTCTTTGTCTCACTTGCGGTATCAACATAAGAAGAGGTGGTTTTATCCGCCTCCTCATTCGTGCTTTGTGCAGCGGCTTTGCAAGTGTTCTCCACTTCAGCAAGAGTCATCTGAGGGCGATCCTGAAAGGTAGCCTTCAGCTTTGTATGATGGGTTCACCAAAGGATACAGTCTGTAAGCATTGAGTCAGCAATGGTGCCTGAACTCACAATCTTTGATTCTATTTATTTTAGGTCTGTACACCAGTTTGCATGAAGCTCTCCTGGTTTCTGATTACTTTTATTAAATGATTCTCTAGTAATACAATTACATACAGTAACTGAATTTCTCCTCCGCCTATTTCCGAAACTTGGCTATAACAGCCTCACAATGTACACTGAGATCAATTTAATTGACCCAGCTGTACCAAATAGAAACAGTGACCACACTATCCTTGAAACTATTATCTGTCAAGAGCTGTCCTGCCAGCTTCACATAGCTGCAGAGCACAGTATTGACAAGCGGTGGTTTTCGTTTTGGGATTCGGCTCTGATGGATATCTCAGACCTCTGCTCAGTAGCAGCCCAATTCGTACTAGGGTTGTTATCCCTTGGTTTCACATGACCTGGTCTTGACTCGTCTGAGATGACTTGACAAGCCCCAGAATACTACTGCAAATTCGAATAACACTACTAATTAAGTTTGACAGCACACAAACACAATACAAAATCCTCTGGACGTCTTCACCTGAGCGAATACCAGAGGTCCTACCGACTGCGCCATGTTCTAGTCGTGGTTGAGGTGGATAAAGGAATAAGCCAAGTTGGGTGATTGTGAGAGGTTCTTTATTGGTCTGCAAGGGTTTATATAACAGTGT